CAGGCATTTCCCCTGTGCCTATTTGCCCCCCCTGCGGGTCTGTATTGTAGAATCCTATGTCGACATGTCCATGGCTGCGTTCTCGTTGCTGTTTCTCGCCGACTCGGGTCGCGTGGCTCCTGAAGATGCTCCGCGTCCGTGTGCCTGTCCAGCTTCTCGTCAAGGTCTTTCTGTGATGCCGAAAGGAGAGGGGCGGAGCCCGTAGCCTGGGCCAGCGGAAGTACCAGAGCCGAGCAAGCGCCATGTGGGTGTCGTGAGGGACCCAGGTCGACAGAAGGGGGGCTGAAAGGATGTAATGATCGAGCAAGGTCTGATGACCGTTGATGGCGCGCATGCTGACGAATGGATCGAGGCAAGAAAGAAAGCCTGTCACAGTGCAATTGACTGACCGAGTGTCCGATACACCAAAGCCGCGTAGTTGTGTCGTCCAGGTCGGGCAAGCGGTTCGGTTCGTCGACTCTGTGTCTCGGGGAGGGGCCAGAGCAGCTTGCCATGGGCAGATGAATGTTCCTTCATTTCCAGGGCCCATGGCCAGTCGCGTCTCTCTCCAGTCGCAGTTGTCTTATCCACGTCGTCTGCCCAACGTGAACATCCGAGTCAGCTTGCTTGCAGCACTAGGGCGCCAGCAAAAGAACTTTCTGAGGGAAATGAGCAGAAGCCACCGGGCAGCCACCACCGTCCCTCCCCCGAAGGGCCCGGCACGCACCCACAGGGCACGTTATCCACCCCCTACTCCTTCCTCCCCCGTCCGCCCTGTCGTTGTTCGTCCCTGCTTGCACCGCCGGGTGTCATTGCAGTAGTAGGCGAGCACTTGTATTTCCTACCGATCCAGAGTGGTGGGTCCGCCCCGGAGGCGCTGTGTAATCTGCTCAAGGCATGTGCAGAAGAGCGACAGGGGAAGCGCAAGGTGACGGAGGAGACAGAGGATGACAAGACAGGCGAGAGAATGAAGCAGCGTCCAAACGTACCTGCAGTTGATGCCACAAGAGAAAGGAGCGAATGCCCGTCCAATCAGTACCACCGTACGTACCCTCGAGGCCTACAGTGGTTGAGCCTCGAGATCTGAACACCCCGCCCCCCCTAGGCGGCCCCTCTTTCAGACGCCTCTGGTGCATGGGCGGCACGTGTGAAGTCTGCAGTATTGACATTCAAAGATCCACCAGTGAGGACCAGAATGACAGAGGTTGCAAGTCCACTGGATCAACGTGTTATCCGATTTTATGAGCTTGAAGGAGTGTGCACATGCGCCGGCGACCGCCATCGTAGCCGCCTCGTGATAGATCTTGCGTCGTTGCAGGTGGGTAGAAATGTGTGTTTCTTTAGACCGGCAGCCGAGCCGACGGTAGTGGATTTTGACAGGCGCGGCTTTCGTCCCAGATGGGCACGTTCGGGAATCTGGGAATCTGGGAACGAGTCAGTCAGGTTTCACCATGGCATGTCTGTTCAGTGTAGACAGCGCCGAGGAGTTGCACTCACGCTCGCAAGGCAGTGGTTTGTTCGACAACAGGGAGCCGCGGCAGGTTGTCCGAGGTCAGCGGAGGACACAATTCCAGGGTGTCTGACACACGAAATGTCCAGCAAGTCGGACTGTGTGTTTGAGACGCGAAAGCTTGGGAACAAGGGAACGGTCGCTTGGTTTTGTTGGGAAAAATTTAATGTCTTTTGCACTCGACCGAGGCAAAGCTATACGGTCCTTTGCGCAACAGAAAAAGCGTCAAGAGAATGCGGCTGCTCTGGGCTGTAATCCCATCAGCAGCGATGCTTTTAAACAAGGCCTTGCTCCAAGGTATCCCGAGGACGCCCTCGATTTGACAATCAAACACAGTGTCTGGCGGTGGTGCTGCTGCGAGGCGCCGTGAGACTGTTTGCTTGCTGGCGGCCTCGGCCCACCACAGGACAGGATTCGTCAGGGCGTTCGGAGTGATGCGTGACGTCGGGAGGCGTTCGATTCGTAGAAGGGCTGCCTGACCGCTGTTATGATGCAGTGTCAATCCAGATTGCACTCGGTTGCGATGATAGTGAGGCGAGATGTGTTTGCTGTTGCTGGGACGCTCTTCCTGAGTGGCTTACACTTCTACTCGTGTGTATCACCCAACAAGAGGGTGGGGACGGACAGGCTGTTCTTGCAGGCGGATGATCGTGACGCGGCTGGGCGGGAGAATATAGACGGTTCAGCAAATGGACCTTCTCCGAGGCAAGCTCGTCGTGTTCAGTTGATGTGTCGAGGGGACGGCCGTCTTGTCGATGCCGGGAAGGATGGGGGGGAGCAAGTAAAGTATTTGGCTTTGGAAAAAAGGCAGGCAGCAGAGGTGTTAAGTGGTTCGGTCGTATGGAAGCACGTCCTGGAAGGTGCAGTGACTATCAACAGCGATTGAGGAAGGTACGTCAAAGAATGTCAAAAGGTCGAGAAACTGGCATGATACCGGCGGTGGGGAGGGTTGAGTCGATATCTTATGTATCACGGAGAGCGTCGTCAGAAGGCACGACATGGGAGGGCAACGAATGAAACTAGGACTAGCCGTCAACGCCGGTCCAGCATCTGTCATTGCGGCTTGACATGATGGCCAAGCTCGGGGCCAGCCAGAACAGACGTACCAGGACCTGCGGACGGGAACCTCTGGGTACCGCCCGGCTGGCCGACCGATCTCCACTTGCAAGACGACAACAGAATTTGAACCTGGCCGGCTTCCAACTCTCGCGATGGCGTGTCCGTACAGACATCCAATGTTCTTCTGCCTTCTATTGGGGCGGGACCCCTCTAGTGGTGCTGCTTCCGACCTCACCAACCCTGTCAAGACCCGCGCCAGCCCTGCATTGACGACCCAGTACCTAGCAGCCTGACCACTGGTAGCCAGAGGCTGATTGACCATGGCATGGTGATGGAGTCGCAGGCTGTCAGTTAGCCGCGCCGCGCCGCGAAATGCCGCCGTGGCCCAATGACCACCTACCTTAGCGTACCAAGCCGTCTAGACAAGCTGGGGTGATCCGACAGGGGGGTTAGCAGAAGGAGGGGTTTTCCCGATGTAGCATGGTGTATTGTCGTTGTCTCTGATCTTGGGGATGATTGATGGGCCGAGGGGCATGGCATTTCGTGGCTGATAGCCAACTTGGCGATCTACCTGGACTTGATCAGGATGTCTTCGCATCGGCACCCTTGCCGTGCGAGGTTGGGAATATCCTGACGCCCCAGCCTCGCAGTCAGTCCGTCGATCGGCCTCTGCCTAGAACCACCATGGCTCTTGTCACTTTCAACAGCAGCTAGTCCGTTGCAGGGTTGCTGGCTGGCTGGCTGCCTTTGCTTGCATCGTCTATCAGATCCAGGCCTTAGACCCTGACCCTGATGTGGGCAATGGGTAGTTAGCCTGTTGGCCTTAACTCGTTCCGACTAATCAAGGACGGGCTCAGGTCCATCCGGGACACCCAAACAAACCAAGCAGCAGCTGTACTGCAGAAAGGTGGAACTGTGGCCCTCCCGCTGCTTGAAGTTCACAAGCCGGCAAGCAGTCCAGCGGGTCTGGGAATGTGCAAATACAAAGTTCACCACAGTAAAGTAGGCCAGGGTGCAGATCGGCGGAAT